ACAACAGTTCAGTAGGTACATTTACAAGGATGGAAAACTAGAGTGACCAGTAACATTGCACATTGCATATGTAATTTATATACCTTATCACTGATCCAGTCAAGGGCATCCTCACATTCACGCAAATACTGGACTAGTTTTTGGGCTTGCAGGAGGCGCATTCCTTTCTCCTTAGTTTTTTGCAAAAGAAGATCCCAAAGGCGATGGAGTTCTTCAAGTCGTGTCTAGTTGGTCATATAGACAACATTAATGATAAAAATGAAAAAAAAAAGTCAAATGTTACATCAAAAAGGAGAAGTTAATACACTGAAGTTCACATTATAATGAATAGGCAGTAGAGTAGTTAAAAGAACATGTAATAGAAAAGTAATTTGAAAAATAAGGAATCCTTTAAATTAAGATTTCAAAAGCAAATTCACAGCACTCAAGAGTCAGAGCAGGGTAAAACCTACTTTAATATACTCGGCCATATTGAGACTTGTAACTATGGGTATTTGTTGTGTCCGGTAAGGCGTGTAAGACTAAATCATATAAAAGTTTTGTTACAGTACATAAGCTATGGCGGTCTGATTTCAATAGACTTACTCGAATAGTCTCAGAGGAAAAGTGGCCTTCATTGATCATGAGGCTTCCAGTTTCGTCCAGTTTGATAATGGCCCCAGCATTGGCTTGAACTTCAGCTTCAAACGCTTGATGTTTCTGCAGCTTACCCTAAGAATCCAAACATGACACAAAGGTTAACAGAGCATATACTGGCTTAAAGAGACATGATCCATCTGTGCCAACAAACCTGCAAGTTGGAGGGGTCCTTGTAATTTTCATCAGAGGCAATTTGCAGCTTTTCTTGGATCCATTTCTCCAACTCATCAGCATCTCTGCGAAAAAACTGGAAGCGGTAGGAGTCCTCAAGCTTTTGCCGACGCACAAGTGACAGCTCCTTGAAGCGGCGATAGCGGTCAAGAACCTGCTGCCGGCGCTCCTGGATGTCCTCAGCTGTTTCCAGAACTTTTCCTGATGCATCCATTTTCTGAAAAACACAATGAAATTACAATTTGGTTTCATGACCACCCTTATCTATTTGTGACTATAATATGTACAATAGCTGTTTATGATCTCCTGATAAAGATTATAAATCTCAGTGGGGCATTCCTGATTAAATAAAATGTCAATAAATAAATAGATAACATTGGTCAATCTTGTGATCAATGTGATCTGTATCTAGGAGTGAAAGAGAACACCCACAGACTTGTCTTAAGCAGAATAATAATATTTGAACAATTGTTAATACAAACACCCCCCTCATCTTGTCAAAAGAGGCTAGCAGCTGAATCAGTAAAATGCCAAAGAGGGGGGAGTGGGTGGGGGCGGAAATTCCACACTCATGTGAACAGTCACCAGGCATTGCTCCACAAAGACACCACTGCAGTCAGCCTCTGACCAGTGGGCCTCAGAGTTCGGGACCAACAAAAAAGCAAAACCACAGTATGAACAATTCCAATTAAGTAGAAAGAGGAACGTTTTTGGTTATCTGTAAGTGCTAATAAACTCTAGATTCCACTGCCAAAATTTGGGAAGGCCTTAACAGACATGCTTCCTGTAACTCCACCCTTGAAAAAAGCGGAAGAGGGATACTGACTGGTTAATTCAAGGTCATCAGAAACAATACACAGACATGGAAAAGAAGTGAATAGGATGTAGTATTAGCAAGTCCTAAATGGGTCCCACAAAGTGAAGCCTATATGTAACAGCACAGTTTATTTGTGTTGACAATGCATGTTTTAAAGGCATTATCTCATATCAGATACTACAATGGTTCAGGTTCACACACAAAATGAGGATTAGTGGCGTCAGCAGTGAAGTGGGGCTGTACTGCAGCTGGACAACAGACACCACATCCTGCCCCAAGGATAGCATTAGCTTCACAGATGCATGGATACCCCCAAACCAACATATGACAACCAAAGCATCACAGAGTAAATTAGCAGATAAATCAAAAGCCCCTCCCCCTCAGGGGAAGCTGTCCTAGTTCATCCGGGTTTATCTGACCTCAGTCTTGTTCTGTCAATCATTAATCAAGTGACACATGCAACAACGGTCTGCAACACAGAACTGCATGCTAATTTATAATTTTTTTTTTTTTTTTTGCATATTGTCAAAAGGTTTCAATAATCATATGTTCAATATTTCAGTAAAGTTCATATCTGTCATTACTGCATGTGTACTGTGTGTAAAGATAGAAGACGTCACTATAAACCGGACCAAAGAAGCTGATAGGAAGGCGTTATCTATTCGCACAAGATGGACGAAACCTTAACTTCACTGCAGCGTTACCCACCCACACACTGATACAAGCTCCACAGAATGGAGCACAACACAACAGAATGACAGCTCACATTTAATTTATAAAATTGGACATGTGACTTAACACTAGCATCACATGCATCTTTTATGAGAAAGATACTGTAATGTTATGGCACAAGCATCATTATATAACAATAAAGAGGGCAAAAGGGCAAACTAATTTCCTTTTAACTTTAAAATGCAAATCCAAGCAAATTCACATCAAACATAAAGCATGCTGAACAAAGCCATGCATGGATTAGATTGCAGTATACTTACCTGTAAATACATCTGACTACTTAAGTAAGCATTATAGCTTACATAAGACAGCATACAAAAATTACTAAACAAAACCTAAGGTTCCTCTCATGTCAGCAACCAAAAGGGGAGAGAATCAGAGTCCAACACACAGAAGTTTACAGAAATGCCCTCTGTAGTGCAGACAGACGCAGTGTACCTGCAATGACTTTGCTGTTTGAGAGAGCGAAGATGTGGCCCAGCCCAAAGACATCGACAGCACATTACACAGCAAAACAAAGCATCATGGCGGCACGATGGCTCGTAGAAAACAAGCTGCATTTGGGCTGGTTTCTTTCAAGTACTCCAGTTTTCTAAATAGGCTATTCCTCCAGCTAGGTACTCCAAATCAAAAACTGGAGATAGGTATCTGGGTGCTGCACTGCGGACAGAATGCCATCGAAATATTTTGAGTCAAATTAATTTAATGAAGAGGACAGATTTCCCTTCTGAAACAACAAAAAAATTTACCTCCATGATCTAAAGATTTAGCAAATCATCTCTAATGCATCTAGGGATGCACCAATACAGCTTTTTCTCTTCAGATACTTATGTCCATATTTTGGCTATAAGTATCTGCCAATACCAGTATCTACCAATACTAGGGCAGACTGAAAACATTATTTTTGTAACTGTTATTTATCATTTAATGTGAATATTATGAGGTGTTTTGCACCAACACTGGCCATTAAATTTTCTTATTATCCCAATTTTCAGGCCAAAATGGGATATCGATTGAACCAATATCCATGAATTGATATCCAATCCATCAAAATTTTCAGTGTTGATATTTGATACCAGTATCGTATTGGTGCATCCCTAATACCATCTACCCTCAAACATGCAGAAACACACAGGGAGACACACAGAGTCTGTACCTTAAGTTTGGGTTTAGTAAAAGTCGACATAATGGATCTGAAGTTAAAATTATCAGAGTTACAAATGAACTTGCTTTTATCAACTCCATCCATTAACGTGTGTGTGTGTTAATGCATGAAAACGGAAAGGACAAAATGGAATATAATAAGACACTTGCCACAGGAGATGCCTGGCCCATTTGTAAGTAGGTCAAGTTATGGTCCCATCTCACCAGCAGAAATGACATTATTATTGATAGCTTAACAATATGCTGTAAAATGTATTGTCGTAAGCGGTATCTATACTAATGCAATTTCATATGCAATATACCCAAAACAATTAAATACTGCACTATTATTACCGTTGAAATGTGTTGCCTACTGTAAATGCTGCAGCCTTGTCTGTGTTAGTGCAGCAGTAGTTGGTATGTGAGACACTTGCCAGTACCTTGTCAAAATGACAAACAAAACAAATACATTTTGCCAATTAGCCCAAACTAAACAGTTTAATGAGAATAGTTTACACTTGGTATTTTTTGCCCATTTGAACGAGAACTTAAAGAAAAAATGGCTTCCAAGTCACGGAGTTTCATTCTTGTAAAATGTACACAGATGAAACACTGTAAATTATTTATAATGAACCTAGGAAATGCATGAGCACATGAGGACACAACAGCTGACGCCCTGTGTCCAAAGGTTTTCTGCTGGACTGGGCGGATCCCACTCAGCTAAGGCCGACAAGCTGCTGCAGTCGACTGCAAGACCAAGTCATTTAGTCTTTGCAATTTTCTTAATCTGACCACACTGAGACAAAAGAACATTTATAATGGCATTTCATTTTAGTACACTTCGTTAATTAAATAACTAGTCGTCAACAATTTAGAAAGAGCGGTCGCATGGGTAACCCCATACTGTTCGCAAAGCAATTGAATTTCAAAATAGCTTTCCGCAAAAGTAAACCATTTCCCAGTTTAATCCTTTTATTTGTTAACAACCATAGTATTTTGTTTTAGGTTTTTTGTTTGGTTTTTTTTAATGCAAAAGACAGGCTTACGGTTAAAGCTTGCGCTGGCTAAGCTAACCAGCCCAACGCGGAGAAAAAACAGGATCGCAAATAAAATTACACGATTCCGAGTTGAAAACTTGCAAGAAACTGATGCTCGTGTCATTAAATATCAGTAACAAAATTCATCCTACCTTGGTATATATCAGAGTAGATTGTAATAATTCGGTTGTTGAGGTCGATCGACGATGGAGGATGAGCTGCTCTCGTTTTACCGATGGCTGATTTTTGCTGCCCTCAAGGTGACGTCATTCCCCGCAGCTTCACGGAAAGTGTCGAGAAATGCCGAGAACACACGAGTGACAATGAACTGTGAAAACGTGGTGTTTTGAACATTTGGAGTTTAAATAAAATAAAAAATAAAGTAAAGCTGGGCTATGTGGGAAGCTCATGGATCTACAGTGTAAACTGATGGTCGATGATGAAGCTTTATTATGAACATATAAGTTATAATCACTATGGTGCATGGATCAAGCTACTGTGCGACACAGTCAATGTTTTCTGTATTCAGGTAACAAAATAAATAGGTTATAGAACATTAATTAATTGTAATACAAACATTTTACATGTACGTACATGTACATTATAATATTTAGTCCAGCGATTTAAATAGTTCAAATATCTATTGTTGTAAATGCCCCAACATGCCTGTATTTATCTATCAACATTGGTAGCCTACATTCTCCTGAGAAGATTCTTCAGTGCTATTTATTTCATCTTCAGCATCTTCACTGACTCATCCCATACAACACTAAAGTAATTTGTTGCCAGTATGTCAACTTTCAACAGAATAACAATACTACAGAGGAAAGTGTTTTTTGCTGTAAGTCAAATGCCTAATGTTATACTGGGGGAGCACAAAAGGAGTTGCTGAGGGACAGGTCTCCAAAAACATTGGTGTAAGAGGCTTTAAGAAACTGAACATAGTTCTGCAGGCTCCTGTTGGTGCTGTCTGATTGCTCCAAGCGGTCCTTGACATCTTGCAGTCGACTTTGGTATCGTTGCTCTGTCTGTGCGATATATACACTTAATAAAAACAAAGGCTTTCCTAAAGACTACAAATATACACACAAGTACTAATGTAATGTAATATATAAACAATGTAATGTAAGAAGGTGAAGGGGCTCACCTCCTCCTTAGTGTGCCGCAGTTGGTGTATTTCAGAGGTAGTTCTACCGAGCTGTGTTTCAAGCTCCAATATTTTTGATTGTGTAGCTCTCTCTTTATTAGCAGCACACTCTTTGATTCCTGAAACCTAGAAGAATAACGTAAAATTAATACAAAATGCTAGATTTTTCACACCTTTTAATCCCTTTAATCATATTTCAATTTTATTATGATGTTGTCAGATGCCAAATCTGTGTAATTTTACAATGGTTACTCTCCTATAAAAAAAATAACATATTCTTTTATATGTCTTTCCAAAACTTCCTAAAATTAATTTCAATTTCACAGTGATAAAATTGTACCCTACACACGGTTGTGATGGTTCTGCACCTTCTTAAAAGTTCACCTGTGACTAGATCAATATTTGCATTATAAAAGCTTTTTATTTCCCACTGGAACAAACTTTACACAACCAGGAACTGGGTGGAACATCAATGTTCAGATCTAAATGTATATGCTGTGGAACGAAAAAACTGCTCAGAGTGCCTTAAACCATTGTGGGAGATTTTGTTTTGAAATAGAGGTATTTGACACCAAGAACCTTTAAAAAAAAAAAAAATCTGAAAAAACATAACAGTGTAATGATGTTTGTCCTTCTGTATTTGCCTCCCATCTGCACATGGACTGTTAGGAGCTCAGCTCCCAACGCTAGTCTTCTTTGATGGATCACTTTGAGAACAAGCTCTATTCAAGGACCAGGACCAACCTAAAATCAGCAGAACCATCACTGCCATAATTATTATTTTTTTGAGTTGCTGTGTAGGGGCTATATTCCACACCTGTGTGGAATTGTAGGATTTATTTTTTACATTTTAGCAAAACTTCCTAAAATTATGTTTTTAATTTCCTATAGTAGAGTAACCTTTGTAGAATTCTAGGCATAAATCGTAGTAGTGAATAGCAAGATAATATATGTTTTTGTAGAGGAAGGGAATACATTTATCACACACTCTTACCTGTTGCTGTGCATCATTCAAAGCCTCCTCTAGTTTTTGGTTGAGTAAGCTACATTCTCGATTTTTTTCCTCCAAACGAAGCTGATTGCAATGAAGGGAGTTTTCCCATTTTGCAACAACAGTCAGGAGTTCACTGTTTTGATTTGTGGCTTCCTCCAGTTTTCTTGAGAAAAAAAACAAAACAAAAAAACAAGATGAATCAACATATCTAACCCAAAATACTAAATAAGGTTCACACAAAGACAAAATATAGTTAGCTGTCTACATCAGTTGAGCATACTGTAAAGCAGAAAAATCGCATACCTTTCCACGAACTCCACATTGTGCTGGAGCTTCCTGTTCTCCTCTAGAAGTGTCTTATTTTTCTGCTTTAGAAGTTCTGCTTGGTTACCCTCACTCTCAACCTATACAATGAAGAAGATGAAAAAACAAATCCTTGTTTAAATTTTAACCCCCTGAATAAGATCATCTAGGATCTATCTTCCAAACTTTGGCATTAAAAGGGGCAGTCTGAAGACTGTTCCCATCTGGCAGGATGTTTGCCTCTCTCGTTCTGAAAACCAAGCTAGCAATGTGATAGCAACAGACTTTTGAACAAGCACTAAAAGGAAGGAGTATATGGACCTCTTTTAACTTTTACTACTTTACCTTACATATACTTACAATATATTGTCTCCTTTAAATCAGTGGCATGAATTCTGGTTTTTAAGTATGAATTGTTTGAATGTGCCAGACCACAGTTCTTTGACATAAAGTTCTTTGAATTTAAGGGTCTATAGTGGAGATTTAACTTCTGTCCACTGCCAGATCAAATTAAGTTTTCAGCTTTCCAGACATAAATTATAAAATAATTTAGTGACTATGATTTGAGTCACAAAAATAAAAATCCTTTAATATATTTTGTACGTAAACAATGTGAAACATTTTCACTGACCAGTGATTTCTGTTTAGTTCATCAGGGGTGTAGACATAGTTCCAGTTTCTGCTGTTTGTAAGAGTGTAACAGCAGGGTCCAAACCCAGATGTTACGTTTAACAATTCCATACAGAAATAAGCGCTATAATTCTCACTGAACGTGGTATATGCATTATTTTAGTAGCAGCTGCACCTTTAAGTGAAGTTCATTTATTGTTGTCTCAAGTTCCTTTCTGCACATTTCCTGGTGGAGCTCTCGTTCCTGAGCCTCCTGGAGCTTCAGCTCAGTGTGACATAAAGCTTCAGGAAGTGGTTCGAGTTCTGCCAGTTTTCTCAGCAGGTCCCTGCGCACCTGCTGTACCTCCTGGTCCAGTTCTTCTCGCACAGTTAAAGCATCCTGCTCAGCTTTAGCTAGATGAGCACAATACTCGTCCACCTCAGCCCGGGTTTTACCAACCTGTACGTAAAAGGGGCAGCTTTGACTATGATTGGGAATAATTTAGACCAGAGTAATGTGTTCGTTGCTGATAAGCTCACCTGTATCTTGTAACTGTCAATTAAACGTTCATATTGCTTTATGGTAGATTTGACGTGCTGTAGCTCTGTCTGAGATAAGGACAGCTTCTCCTCTAGAGTGGATACTGTAGCCTGGAATCACAGTCATATTCTGTCAATATTTATAAAGACATGATGCAATATGGAATAAAAGGACACAGCATACTGAAGAAGATATAAGTGGCAAATAAAAGCTTTCTTAGCCTAGTCTCGACCAAATCAGAATTATCAAAGACAAAGAGCTCTGTTCAGCCACATCTCCTACTACCAAAATGACTCATTTTCACAACAGAAAATCAGTTTGGTCTGGAGCTATATACTCTATATAACTGACCATTATTTGGTCTGGGTAGCTGTGGTGTCACACCTTGAGAGACTGATTCTCCAGTTTTGCAGCTGTGCCTTCTGAAGTTAATCCATGCAGATGTTCTACCAGAGAATCTCTGTCTGCTCGCCTTTTATCCTCAGCACCTTTGAGCTGTTCTGACAGCTCCATGATACGACTGAAAGGCATTAGATGTGTCATCACATTAACCTCTTACAAACAACAATTTCACATCAAACGCATATTATATATGTATTCTATATGCATTTACCTGTTTAATGATGAAATTTCTAGCTCCAACTGAGTTTTGTCTTTGACATCTTCTTTATGACATTTTTTCCAAGTTTCAGCAGCTGAAAGTGCTTCAATAACTTGATTTTCCTGTGATGAATCATTGAATTGTGAAAATGTAGGTATAACCACATAAAGATGCAATCAAAGTCTTACCATTTTCAGTAGCTGAAGCTGCAGCTGGGCTGTGGTATCTTCACAACGTTCAGCTCTCTGTTTCTGGGCCTTGGCAACTCGTTTCAATGTCTCCTTGTCTGCAACCGTCTGTTGTTTCAGCCTCATCAGCTGTAGAGTCAAATGCTCCATTTCTGTCTTTTGTTCATTTCCTGAGTGCTCCAAGTTCTTTTAATAAACATAGTTAATTATTGGAAGGTACTATGGACACATTCATATTGTTGTGGTGAAATTATCTTGTATAATTGCTATTGGGCTTTATTTTCATGACACACCTTTATCTGTACAGTAAGACGATTGTTCTCTGCTTCTTTGCTATGCAGCTGACCTTGTAAATGACCTCTTGTGGACTCTAAACTTTTAGAAAAATCAGACACACTCTTGGCATTTACCTAAAATTTTGTTAATATATGATCATTAATATAATCAAGACTTAACCAAAACATAATGTAAATGAAAAAAATAAAAAATCACATACTTTCTCATTATCCAAAGCTTTACACAGGTCATAAACTTGGTTTTGTGTATCTTGAAGCTTTATCACCAGATTCTGTAAATGGAAAAAAAATCAGTAACTAAAAAAAAAAAAAAAAAGAGAGAAAGAGTTCAGATATAACTTACTGCATTTTCTGCTTCTATATAGGAAAGCTTCTTAAGCAATGTTTCCTTCTGCGCTGATACTTGTGCTGAGTCCATCTATTTAAAAAGATTAACATTTGTTACTCTAGATTAATATGATCTACCTCTAATACTGTGTTTTAATATTTTACAAACAACAAATATAGTTTTCTAAAAGTATTCATCTGGACAAGGTTTTAAAAGTAGGATAAGTATCTCTTTTGTTGCTATTCCAAAAATTTAATAACTGTGGTAATTAAAATATTATTTTAAGTACATGGGATTTTTGATGCTCTCTAAGAAGCTGTCGCAGTACTCTATTTGTGGCTTCAAACGTCTCCAGTTTTTGCAGCAGTAGCTCTTTATGATGAGCCAGATGTGAGGACTCATAACTAGACAGCCTCTGAAACAAAAGAAAGACAAAGGAGGTGTTGATAACAGCAGCAACATTTAATATAATATAGCATTCGCTAAATTTGATTAGTCAATCAGTATCAATCAATAAAATCATGAAAAGAAAAGCATTGTTACTGGTAATCAGAAACTGTCAGCTCGAGCAAGTTTAGTAGTTTTAAGTAGTAGGTAGTTTCATACAGTAACATAAATGCATTTGACTTGAGTCCTGGCACTGTATGCAGTATAGTTTTATCATGTAGGAGTGGTGTCTCCTGGTGTAGAAAACGGCATACTTACGCCACCACTAGTTGCACTCATTTTGCAAACACATTCACTGAGGGTCGCCACTTGTTTGGAAGCTGCTCTGCCATCCACTTCAGCTTCAATCAACTTAGTGAGCAAAGCATCTTTTTCAGGAAGATAACTCCCATCACTGCAGGAAAACAACAGGACTCATCCATTAGATCAGACAAAGAAATTATAAAGAACATTTAGATTACAAGTGAGAGTCTTTTTGCCTGGCACTTTCCACTGACATGTTTTCTATTGAGCACCGTAAAAGTGTGTTTTCTTGCTCTGTTTGCTGTAGTTTCTTGGCCACTACAGCCAGCTCTTCCTCCTGCTCAGCAACAACTCGCTGGGAGAGACTTAGCTGTTCTGACTGACGTTGCAACTGCTGCTCTTTCTTTTTCAGTTCCACCTATGTAACAGCAAAAAATATTATGGTCAGAAAACTTACAAAGTCAGAAAAAAAGCAGGTCAACATTGATGAAAGGTTCATATTGTGGCATAAAAAGAATAAGAATTCATAAAGTTAAGTGCAAATAAACTAACCTCATTCTTCAGCGAGCTGACTTCTGTCATTAAACTGTCAATTTTCTGTTCATATCGGTTGATTCGTCCATGAATTTCATCCTCATCAGCTGTCAAGTCTGCCAAACATAAAGCTGACTGGAGTTCTTCTGGTTCTTGTGTGCTTTGTGGAATTATTTCAAGGTAGTGTGTAGGCCCCTTTTTCACAAATACAATATTAAGCACCACAAAAACACGTCATCTCGGGTAAAAAATATTTTATTCTTGACCTCAAATTTTAAGGAAGCATCTCTGAGAGTAGTCTTTCTGGGAGGAATCCATGGCACTCTGGTTTTGACTTTTGCTGTGGACCGAAGAGTTCCTTTTTCTTGCTTTATTTTCCCCTTTAAAGCAAATACACAACTTACAACTGTTTTGACAGGTTCCTTTAATTAAACAGTTTTTGCTCAAATCAAAAGTGTTGTTAGTTTTGCAGTTTGTATTTGCATATATGTCTTACCTGAGGTGTTTCTGTTGGACTTTTTTGACTCTTTAAGTGAACGTGGACTGGAGTGCTCTTGCTGACATGTACATGAATCAGAGGAGAATTTGATCGGTTCTTCATGCTTGCGTCAATCTGTAATAATAAAAGTAATAGAACAGAAGTGCAATTTATTTAGTGGGCACCTTAAAAAAAACAAAAAAACAAAAAAAAAAAACGCTAACTACATAGTTCTTCTACATTTAACAAAACTGTTAGACAGTTTGACAGACTGTTGTTTAAAAAAAAAAAAAAAAGTACTACGGCTAGCAGTACGTGCACTATTTTGACGCTTAGTTTTAAGTATGTTATACATCACACATCTCTTTTGACTTGTAAATCCAAAACGTACTTATTACTTACCCCATAAAATACATAAACTCCGCAAACAACACAACTCAAAGTATCATGAAGAATCTGTTGCTTCTAGCGAAGACAGTACTAATTCGCCTTAGTTAAAATGCTCTTCATAGGCCAGTTTTGAACCACCTCGTAATATTTTCAATTGTGATTGGACAGTCCCCCCCTCCCGTAGGTTTACGTTACCTAGCAACGTCCCATGACAACGTTGGCTACAGACTATGGTGACTGGCTACATTGCTATGCTATTTCCACGAACTGTAAACATTTAAATGAATAACATAGCTTAACATATAAATATACAAACACACAGGCACACACACACACACACACACACACACACAGTGTCCAAAATTATCATAATAATTATTTACTTTTTTGAACCTCATTTATTTTCTTTTATCAATGATATGACAAAAAACAAAAAACAAAAACAAAACAAAAAAACAAATCAAAACAAAACCAAAAAAGAGCATGTAAAACTTCATTGGAAATCTATTGGTGGTTTCAGATGTGATGATGTCATACTGCCAAATTACATTTTATTTTCCATAAAATATCCAAAAGGTACATTCACAAATGTTGAACCTGATCATAGTAACAAGACAAAAGATTTCACTGTCTTACAACAAAAATTTGCATTTTAGCAAAAATTAATTAATTTTAGCTCACCCCCATCTGTATTAATTAAATATAACTGGCCTATGGAATATGAGCTATTATCTTGTCACATTCATTATATGAAGAATCATGATCAATTTGTACACCAAACCCTCAAATAAAAAAGAAGACTTTCATGTCTTAATGATAATTTGCAGTGATATCATGTAACGGTGGACTGTTGAGTTACTTTTTTCCAGGAGTTTGTGATCAATACCAGTGTTCAAGGTAGAGTTTAAGAGTTTGATGGTGAGTAACTGAAAAACTGTTGGCTAATGTTTATGACTTTATAGACTTGTTTAACAGCACAAATCAGTTCACCAGTTATAGTTCCAGCTAAGTCATTTATTTTAGGGTCAGAATAAAGCACAAAGAGATGTCTAATAAAGTCTCAGAGAGAACAGAACCTACTGTTAGCATCACACCCCCAGGGAATGTTGATGACATCGACAGCAAAGTATCAATTGTTTGGGGTCAGCTGTCTTGTCTATATTTCCCAACAGCAACTAGACAGGATTAAATCTGATTATACTCCAAATGGTTCAGAAACAATTTTACCACAGGGGAATTTAATAGCCAAGTATTTTATATAACCTTTTTGGTTTTAAGGAAAACCAGCCAGAATGATAAAATAATTTATGTTTCATATGTAAATTACAGAAAATTTTAAGATAACCCATATATTTCAGTTTATAATTACAAGACACATCTGTGAATAAGGTTGAGAATGTAATGTTTAGTTAACTTGTTTTATGGTTGTTATTAGTATGTTACGGTTCAAAATAATTCTTGTATATAAAGTGATACTGCCAAACAAACTCAAAGGAGCCTGCCAAGACATTAAAATGCTTAATGGAATAAAAAAAATACACATTTATACATTAAACAACTCATATTTAGTAGATGCAAAATGTAGAACATTAAATTTAAATATTTTCAACACACACAACGGACAGATGAAGAAAGCTTGGTCTTTAGTAACTGATTGCACTTGTATAATGTATCAGATTAAAACTGTATACAGAACTGTATACTTTTTCATGCAGGAGTTTACTTAATATTTACACCTCCTGTACAAAAAGTAATTCCATGTTTACTTATGAATAAATGCTTAAAAACAGATTCACAATACATGTTATTGCTACAGTTGTTTTTAGAATTTACGCAGTTGAGGAGGCAAACATAATGAATGAAACAAGTATGTGGTGTAAAGTATGCCAATACACAATCTGTTTTTTTTTTTTTTTCACTGTTTTACCCAGGCAGTACGAACACAACCAAAACAAAATGTCATATTAAAGTGCAAGGCTGTGGTATCATAATCCAACTTGCTAGCAAACAAACAATGAACACTGATATTTACATTAAAATAGAAAAAAGGCTCAGTGTTTCTGACAGAAAATGGAGAAAAGCGAGAAGTAGATACATTCTACTGTTTCTCTTTAAGTCCTTGAAGAGCTGGAATGTAACATTTTTAAAAGGCCAACAACAAAACTGGCCACAAACAGTTGGGCTGCTCATTCTTTTTTTTTTCCTTACACTGAATGAATACAAGACAAACAATATCCCTGTCCTTACATCACTTAACATCATCTGCACATATAATCAAACTCAATCAATTCATATTGTATACACCATAACAGTGTTCAATTATCATGTCCTTGAGACTTTGCTACATCCTCAAACTGCAGTAGTTTGGTCAAGGGCAGTTAATGATCAGCTGGTTCAGCATTACAAAGTCAGCCAATGCTAACCCCTCAAAAAGCTGTCCCAATGGATCTTTCCAACATAAGAAACATAATACTAGAGCAAACAATTTGGTCTCACTACTATCTGTTGAGTTAACACAATGAAAGTAATTGTGACTAGCAGAGCTATTTTAACCTAGAATATAAATTTTGTGTATTTTTTGTTGGTTGGCTTAATTTAATTTAATCTATTATAAACATTTGGTAAGCAGCATATTTTTACCCACTGACTACCAATGATTCGAACACATGGATAAATCAATGACCTGCTGTTCTTGTAAAGTGTCTCTTCCACTGAGTCAAAAGAAATCATACATTTAAAACCTTAGGTCCGCAAAAATGTAAAGTAACAGTAAAGCACCTTGGAAGATGCTGGACCGCTTTTCATATCCACAGAGAAAAACTAAATAGTGAATGGAAAAATTGTGCTTTGTCTAACTTTAGATAACTAACAAAGTTAGTATTCTACTCCCAAGTAAATATAAATAAATGTCCCACATTATTTATCATAAAAGTGTGACAATATCTTGCAGTTGTTCAATAGACACCTGATACAGCTAAAATGCATTTATACTCAGTTAACAGCAACTGTACTTCCCACGACTTGTTTTCAGCAGCTTGACATTGTGTAAGAGAAGACTGTCAGAGGAAACATAACATGCCTGATATACTGCATCACTGATTGCAATAATGCCTCAGTCATGTTTAGACTACACTGTCAGTCGAGAGAAAGCAGGATTAGAAGATCCCAAAACAGGCCAATCCTTCTAGTCTGCAGCCATCAGGTGATATAAGAAAAACATACCAATGGAGAAAATAATTTATGTCCAAATATTATAGGTTGTCCTAATTAGTCAGTTTAATGTCAGTTCATGCTACCCTTTAAATATTATGTGCTTTTCTTGTGTGTGTTTCTTTTAATAGGACATTATCATTGTGTATCAGCCTTTTGGGCCCTACAAGAATGATATTAACAAATAAATTTAGCATGCAAATATACACCACAGTGACATAAAAACTACTTTAAATTTTTTTTTCCAAGTAGAAGTATTACTTGACATTGTGAAATGAATACATCAATGAGATGTGCAGCAACAAGCAACATACCACATAGGTTAAACCTCATGCATCTTAGTCTGCTACATTTAAGCTGTTTTACAGCAAGCACTGTTTGGCAGATGCAAACATATAATGTTTTTTGTTTTTTTTTTACCTTTTAAAAATAGGTAGGTGTTAACCTTATGTAATTTTAGTTATGATAGCACCACAAAAAACTTGCCTTTGCACTAATGTGTAAAGCTCATCGTCTTTATATCTCAGAAAACATTAAATATAATAGAATTTTCTATCAAACATAAATCCAATGACAAGCTGCTGTTCATCCTTCATTTGAACAATGTTGGACCTTTTATTTAGCCTGTAATGCTAAAGCAACATTTACACTGAACGTTCTGGCTCATCTATGGGTTGGACGTGGCACAGTACTTACATTAAAGACAAAGTGGAATGGTGTATAACACACCTGGGCTCTGAATCAGTGTGCCAATATTTAATATGACAGCCCACAATTAGTAGGTTTCCAAACCATCATCCCAAAATAAGTTTTGCACTTCCAGCATTGTAGCCAGCTCTATTATATGCTTTTGTAATAGGCTGCTCTCCACCGTCTCCTGTCTAGGCAGCTCTGGGTACGATTCTGGGAAGCTCCTACACTCCTGAAAAAAAATGACACAATAGCATGAAAAAATATCATACTAAAACAGTTTAGGGTAAGGGGAACAACAACAACAACAAAACTGCCCAAAAATACAAGGGCTATTTTTACAAAGCCCAGTGGACAACTTGCCTGGCCAGCCAGTCCCTTCTGCATTCTGTTCGAATCCAGAAGGGTCTGGAATCAGACCATCGAGCCTGAAAAACCTCCATCCAAACTTGAAATGATCCAACCAAAGCTGCTAATTTGTAGCATGTGTCTCTCAAATGTGGAAGACGTCTCTTCTTGAAAATTCTCATAATATTCAGAACAAAATATATAACTTATTTTACTTGAGATAAGTATAATTCTGAGAAAATCCATATGGTTTTTAAGTCCTTTATCATGTTTTTCCTCCTTTTTTTATGTGTAAGAAGCCGTGTTTGTTTTTGATGAGAATAAGTAATGTCTCTCTCTCTGATTGATTAATCTGCCTGTCAATCACGCCCTATGAAATCAGGGAGCAGGATATGGCTTCTGATCCACCAGTCTTTGTAACGTTTTGTCAAAGCATGTAGTTGTGGCCGGCCAGGTAAGAAGACAACAATAATTTAGGCTCATTCTTACCCGGAAGAGTTTATGTAGTCTCAATGCAGCTGAGCAAAACACAAAGCGGATGAGAAGCAGTCGAAGGAACTCATCACCAAAGAACTGCAAAAAGGCTTGATCTGTAAAATGTAAATATAAAAAAAAGGCTAATATAATTTTGATTGTTTCTGTAAGAGAATGGACATGATAACTACATTTATTGTGAATGCTTTAAGGTATTTCCAAATGGCCCTTTTTGTACAATTTTCCAGAAAATATATAAAGGATATTATTATATATATTATGTTATTTTCTGATCTGTCGTGAAGTTTTTTCTTAATCATAAACATACCTGGAGTTGTGTTTTGTTTCATTCGCACATGCTTAAACACACAAACCCTGCATCTTCACTAGAATAATTTGGATGACAAATGAACCCTGGAATTGCCAGTCTCTACTGAAGCAAATGTAAAGGATAGCTGTTATCTTGAAAACTACCACTACATGACACCACAAGGTGGGAGCTTGGGAGATGTAGTCAAACTAATACTAAAGGATTACTCTAACATGGGTGAATAAAACAGAACTGCAGGAATGTTTTTGAGGAGGTAGCGACGTCCAAAATTGCTTAAAGCTCACAAAGAATCTAATTCGCATAATATAGAACTTTTAACGAGTAGGACAAGCTAATATAAAGGATAAAGAGAGAGGGGTAGTACCTATAGATCTTGACCGGGTAATCAGCTGTCCAATGTCACGATAGACCTTACAGAGGAATTCTTGCGCACGCTCCCACAACCCTTGGCGCACACTGTTTAGGCCACACACTGAGGAGAAGGCCAGAAGTGGGCTGTAGAGGAACAGTGTGAACAGACTCCCACGCTGAGACTGATCTAGAGACGATCAGAGGGTTAAAAGACATACAGACGTGCACATAATTTTCAAACCATTCTTACCTTGGACACTACTAGGATACACAGTAGGTGACAACAGGCACACCAATGGTTGGCCAAACATATTTGTGAAATTCTTATGAAGTTAAAAAATTAAAAATAACTGTTATTTTACATATGTTTATGGCTGGAAAAATGATTATACTATGACGAGTTGCATACCTTGTAGGCTGTACTGTTGGAAGAATCGACAATGACAAAAAGAGGCTTACGAGTAAAAGGAAACAAGTCTCCTGGATGAAGACTGGAGATAAATATATAGCCAATAATTAGATCTGACTGGTTATAAGTAAAAAGCAGTTACCTTTTTCCAATATATTATCAAAATGTGTAGCATAAATTAATATGATTTTACCCACCAGTGCATTTCTTTTTGGGCTTGATTTCTTTTTTGCATTGTCTCACCATTGACAACATCTCGATTCGTATTCGTGAGAACTCCTCCGAAATCAAACGGTCCTAATGGCAATAGGACGTGTTATCACTGGTATATAAGAAAAAAAAAAAGAATAACATGGGATTTCAGTGCTTTACCTTCATAAACTGAATGACCAGCAGGGAAGACTCCAGTGGCAGAAAGATAAATCAGCAGAACACTGTTTGCAGGCAATTCCTTGAGAAAATATAACTACTTTTTAAATGGATGTTGAGGATTATATACAAGTATGCATACACAAATGAAACATACCTTAAAAGAAGCAGACAGGAAAGTAAACAGCTGGCTAAATGTTGGTTTGTAAAGAAGATATTTGTGAGGGTTCTCTCTTTTTGCAGGTTTTTCAATCGGTTCCTGTGAAATGTAAAAGTAATGAAAAGACATTTTAGTTGCTTTACAAATCTCTCTCTCTCTCTCTCTCTCTATATATATATATATATATAATATACATATACAAATCTATCTATTTATTTATTTATTTATATATTTTAAATGTAATCATGGCTTTCATTTCTTCGCTTACCAGTGTCCCCTGTTTGGAGGTTTGTGTAGCTAAATTTACAGGCTCCCTTTCCAAAGCTTGAAGCATCCGGAACATATCAATGGTTAACTCACTAAATTTTACCTGGAACAGACAAATATGAGCAATTTATATAAACGGAAACAGGAAAGACCAATTTAGCCAAATTAGCTCTGGTACTTTAGTTAAGTTTAGTCTTTATTGGAGGGGACAATATACAGAGACATTAAGCCCATAGTACAGTAGTACAGTCCAAATGAACAGAAGATACTTTTATGATACCAACAACTCCATATACAGTGAAATGATATTTGTTTTACTATATAAATAAAACACAAAAAAGCTGTATCAGTGCATCTCTGCCTCAAACTACGTCAAGAACTCACTTTGAGCTGAATGCTCCTGCTTTCTCAGAAGTAAAGAGGGCTAGCAGACCAAGTTAGGGTAATAAACTAACCATCAGATCAATCATGCACTACATGCTGTGAAACAACAAATAATTGGCTTAAAGATAAACCACAAATAAGCGAGCCATAGATCTTAGGTTAATTATGGAAATGCTATTAGTGTGTTAAAACCTGATTGTTACAGTTGCCGATGATCAGTGCATCGGCCAGGACGAGCTGCCCAACCACCATGCCTTGTTCTAGGGGTGGCACCCCTCCTTCTTGCAGTCGATTGCTGGTGACAATAACAGAATTGTTGTCATTCAGTATCACAACTGGGTCAGCCTATATGGAGAGAAAAACATGACAGGATTCACCACATGTTGGATCTTTGTTTCAAATTTCTTTTCAGAAAACTCTATATCATATACCTCTATAAAAGCGGCAACTTCTTGTAGCACCAAGTTCCACTCAAGTTGATCCTCTGTGTTGAACCGTTGAGTATAATCCTCAATTTCATCAGATAGCTCCTTCAGGTGAGCAACAGAGCCACTCATTAATTCAGTAGTTTGGCCAGTCAGGCCTCTTTTGCGTTACAAGAATGTGGCGGAGAATTATGTCATCATTATACTATTTATATAGTTTTACACAAGTTAAGTGGCAGGGAGCAGAGCTAAGTTGTAAAACATACTGATGTGATGATATATCTAGAGCCTCTGATAGTGTTTAATCAAGCAAAATTTTAATCAAGTTAAATATTTGTTTTGGGAAAATACACAAAATTTTACATTAATAACCCTTTCATGGTTAATGAACAGTTATGTCTTTGCTTTCTCTTGCTGCTTTTATGATTTGGACAGCTCACAATAATCCCCAAAAGTAGTAGCGTTTATAGATGAATTATCAAATGGGCTGATACTGTCATCTCCACAAAGCAGGTGACAACTCTCTGACTTATGTAAGCAATCATTGGAATTTTTTAAGTTCCTAAGGACCAAATTTGCTGCCTGTCCACCCAGAATGTAGAATTACTGCTTTGAAATCAGTGAAGTCAAATTAAATGGGGGGTGCATATTTAATGCAATAGTTTGTTTTAACTCATTGACAAAAGATTGCCCCAGTGGCCAAAAAATCAACACTTTTATTTTCAGGCAAAATCACTTGGCCTTAAGTAAGCGTTTAATATAATCTTTCAAATAATTATGCTGACTATGTTTTAGTGAAATGAGCTAATCTGTCATATGGATTTTAAGAGTGAATGTCCAATGCTTATGTAAAACTGAATGGACATTATGTGATATACTCTGATAATTATTCAATACCGGTACATTTGGGGAGGTCTGTGAGTTTAAGCAAGTTAAATCTTTTCAATTGCTTATGTACATATATGGCAAAGGGTTTGTGCAAATGCTCCATACCTTCACCAAAATTTTAACTAGGTCCATTTTGTTCAGCAGTAAACAGACAACAATGTAACGGGCATAGTAACGTAGCTTTTTCACTACCAATTCTGGCCTGAAAAAAAAGAGAATGTGTTGAAAACATGAATCATGACTTCTAAACAAGAAAGGTTGGAGCATACCTGCCCTCTTTGTTTACTTGATAATAGTAGGACCGCTGTCGTATGGCTGAGTAAAATGAAAAGGCCTCATTCAGGTAACTTGTTTCTGAGGTACGAAGGCTGTAAAGGAAACAAATGTAACACTTTTGGTATTATGAAAATATACTGAAATTAAGTATCATTAATACGACTTACTAATAATGATAGTACAGCTGCCCTATTTTGGATGCAACTTCTCCAATTTGCCATCTTTTTAACCCATAACGCGTGTCCAAAACCTGTCTGTCATACAATACATAATATTAGAGGATGCGAACAACAGAAAGTCAAAATTTAGACAAGAAAGTCAACAGAAATAAATAAATACAATAATATACATCTGTCGCTGGCAATGAATACCTATGTTGCTGCTGAAATTTCCACAACTTTGTATAGACATCAAAGGTTCGACCAAAGTACGACTGCCACTGCTTGTGTCCATATTGAGGAAGATCTCTGCACAAGACATAGACAGTTTACTTTAAGAAATAGTATGTAAGATTAAGAGTTTAAATTTTCATTAACAGCTGTGTCCTCAGATACAGGGTAAACATGTCAGAATTAAATACAGCTCTTACTGGTAGCCACTGTAATACTGGATATATTCTTAATTACAAAAACAGTGGACATGATGATCAAGTTATTTGTGCTTTAAATTTGGTGTTTTGGTAAACCAGAGTAGGCTGTCATTTTTCATTTGGGATATTACAGTCAGTCTTGAGAATTTACTTGAACCTTTTCCACATTTACTCTTGAACTTACTTGAAGAAAGAACTTCTTACCAATAATTGGGCTTTGTGAATGATGTATTTTATAGATATTGTTGTAAAATAATTTCTTAAAAGGATGTAAATGTTTTAGAGCTATTACAGTAATAAACCATTTAAGCAGATGCTATTAATGGAAAATATTAAACTCATTTATAAAAAGCCAAGTACAAAAAGCCCATCGGTATAAAGGGGTCAGTGACGCACAAGTAATCAGAACTAGAAATACATAAAAATCTGACCTCAAGCCATTGAAGAGTTGTTTGGATTTGTCCAGGAGATAGCAGAAATCAGTGACAGTTTTTCGTTCCCCTAAGGGAATATCATCATCAGTCTCAGCTCCAGTCATGACAGTCTTCTTAATCTGGTTCAAATAAATACACTGATTGTAAAAAAAAATATTTATAGTATAATAAATACAAAAAGGATACACATTTGTATGTGAAGGCAATGCATCCATTCAGTCTGGACATGCAACAAACTACAGATAATATTACATATACTATGTTATAACACTGTAGCTGTATTTATTGAAAAAAAAAAGAAAAAGAAAGAAAAAAAAATTATGAATCATTTTTAATGTTAGGTATATTTTTGATTGAGCATAATTTGAAAATTTGAACATGATGTTGTACAGTGCTGGTTTCATTCCCAGAGCACATTTAAAATAGGTACAGAACGGGTTAACAGCCGCTGATTGCTATATTACAATTGCCCTACTTTAATGTGAACAGACGTGCGAAACTATGGAGAAAATGCATCACATGGCCATCTTTTTAGGGTGACCTGGGATGTCCCAGATTCATGTTCGCAAAGGCTGCAACCAGAGCTGGTAGATGTGCAATCAGGTCGGAGCTATACACACCAGGTCACAATTATACAATGACTGCATTAAAAGACATCAAATATACTGGAAATACTGTGAACATTTAAAAAGGCACGTCACAATGAATAGTGTCAACTAGACATACATCTGCTTGGCATGAAATGACATATGTATGCATATCCCTTATAAAATCTCTGAACCTTCAGTTTTCCAAGACAAATAATTCATTTTATTATTGCCACATATAAATTATTATAATGACCACGGCAACTAACGACAACTACACAAAATGTGCCATGTTCCTGATGATTCTAACAACCATAGTTAGATTTCCTCAGTGACTAAACTGTAACCTTCACTCATATTGCTGCCTTTCTATGCTTTGCTCGAAAAAAGGTCATAGAGCTTGGCTAAAGCAGCAATATTAATGTCAGCTTGAGTCCATCACATGTCTTACCTCAGCAGCAGAAAATCCAAAATGTAAAAGGATGAGTACCTCGGAGATGCTCACAGATCAGAGCAAAAGCCACCACAGGCTCGCTTTCTTTCGGTGAAAGGCGGCTTTGCGGGCATCTCAGAGAGAGCGTTTGACCCTGGACCAGTGTAAAGCGCACATCGTTCCCCAGCCTGCACAGAACCACCACTGTATGCACAGGACTGTAGCTCGGTAGGACGAGATGACAGACTGTGAGGCAATCAAGGAGGCTGAGGTGAGACCAGACAGCTGGCTCTGTTCCACCCGCGCAAGCTAGCTATTTCCGGGTCAGAGATTTCACAATAAGGCCCTGAATTGTGTATAATTTGCTACTATGACTTTAAGATACGACGACTTTCACCATGAATGTGTTTATTAAGCTTACAAAACAGAAAAAAAAAACATTATCCGCAATACACATAACAAATGAAATGAGGTATGCAGGCATTTACCGGCACAGTTCAGTGTAAGGGTATTGCATTAAAATTAGGCACACTGAGCTGCAACAATTTCTGTTACCATGTTTAGAATACTTTTCTAAATGCACATTTCTGAACCTCTGCATTAAGCCAAGTGACAATAGAAGCAGAAATAAATGAAATGCACATCATTTCCAGTACTTTTTAGCTTACCATTCATTTAAAATCTTCTCAATGTAAATGAGACCTCCAGAAAAGGCAGATACAGATACCCGGAGAATTTTCTCCCTAAATTGTGGTCAGCAACAAAACTGTGTTCAATATACACCACGCTAAGCTAGAAATATATAAAGATTTTATTATAATTTGGATCAAAATGTTAAAATGCATCTTTACGACACAACGTGTGACATAATTAGACATATTTGAATTAAAATGAATTGAAGGAGCAAAAACAGCCATCAAGATACTTTAACCTGAAAACAGTTATATTTAGTAAAATCTGTTGCATATAAATAAAATTTCAGGACAACAGAGGATGTGTTAATTAAAGGAAGTAAGGTGTAGTGGTTCGAGGCGGTATAACCCTTTCAGAGTCAGGGACAGCCCGAAACAGCTTCGGCTCTCGTCTATTTACGTCTTTAAAAACCATAATCGAAGCAATGTTTCCACAGCGGTAGCAGTAGTTTGGTGCTGACCACACCGTTACCAATTTTTCATCGAACATGAACTTGTACCCTTCATGAACCAGCTGATGTGCCCGGCAGATGAGCTTTAAGTTGTTGATATGCACAAACTAAAACAAAAAACAAAAAAACAACAAGCTTTGGTTAGTAATTGATAGCCAGGGGGTTTGGCAATTTGCCCCACATTCAACATGGCATGAAAGTATTTTTTTTTTTTAAATACCTCATTTGTGACTTTGGAGCCAAATAGCCACCCTGCACCTCGTGGACTGATAGCCCAGGTGTCAACATCTTCAGGATCTGACCACACAAGATCACAGAAGGCACCCTTGTGTGGAATCTCTTGGTTGCGTTCTATTGTACGAATCTGGTCCAAAGTTTTAATGTCAGGTGAAAGCCCACCATGAACACACAGGACCTGCTCATCTATCAACTAAACAAAAACATTATTAAAACATGCTTGACAGCCTCATGTCAAATAAATCAGAGAGTACTTTAGCACTTGAGAATTTCTATATTTAAATAATATAAGTCATGTAAATTTCCCTTGTTTTACATTTTTAAACAAAGTGAAATACTGAACATCATGTAAACAGCATTCTTCACATTACTATACCACATAATGGGCCTAATTTTTAAACTCATATTGCATCTCAGTATTACGCACGTCACTTAAATGAAAAGAATACTTACAGCTGCAACAGTTAGCATGTCAAAAACTTTGGTACAATATCGCCAGGCATTGGCATTGCCATATTTTGTTTGGCATTCATCTAAAAAGTCATAACAAAAATGCAATTAAATGTTACTGTAACCAAATAGTACAATTGTTACATTACAACCATTTCTTACCATAAAACCCATACACTTGTGTTATTTGTCTGCTTTCATGATTTCCTCGAAGTAAAGTGATGCGATCAGGCCACTTTGCTTTTAAAGCAAGAAGATGTGTAAATGTCTCCAAACTGTAATATCCTCTGTCTACAAAATCCCCCTAAAAAAACAAAAAAGCATTAATTTAATTAGAGGTGGGCAATAATACTATGAAAGAAGTTTTAAAGATATGCAAATTTTGACTATCAGATATCTGTTACATTGCTAAAATACCTTCCAATTATTGTTAATAGGATACTCCAAAAACAAGATGTTTTGTGCATGTATGTAAAAATATCCCCAACAAAAGATAATTCTGATTTTAATTATAATGTTTTGAAAAATATGCTGCATAAGACTAACTGCATGCCACTGCAAATCGCAGATACAATAATAAATTACCATAAAAATGTAGTTTGTATCTGGAACCTGCCCCCCGGTTCTGAAGAGCTCACACAGGTCATAAAACTAAAGAACAAATAAATTATAATTATTTACACATTATGGATAATTTGGTTTAAATTAAAGTAAATGCTACCTGTCCATGGATGTCTCCGCACACTGTAACCGGTGTAGAAACTGGCTGTACATTGGATTCTTCCAAAAGTAGATCACATACATAATCACATAATCTCTGCAAAAGATATGCCAGTTATTTAACATGCCATGGTTTTATAAGGCTTTCCTAACTTATTGTTTTCTGATGTTTGTCCAGTGAAAAGTTTATGACTGTTTTTTTTGTTTTTTTTTTGCTTGTTTATTGTCGTTTTGTTTCTTATTTTTTCTAATAGTCTGATGCAAACGAGCAAAGAACGTGACACAACGTACGATTTTTAAAATAATATTTTCACACTTTGTATATGGCTGTACCAAATACTAAAATAAGGAAAGTCAGCAATTTAGACAAATTACGTAAAAACTGTTGGATTAAAGAAAGCAAAAATAATACACCGTTCTTCCACTTTTGCTAGCTTGTTGTCGGTCATGCTACTTAGGCTAACTAAAAACGCACTATCCTAGACAGAAGTGGGACTAAGAAATGTAACGTTACTGCCAGTCGTAGTGTGCATTGAGTATAAACCCACCTTGAGATCATTTTCTGGTAGGTATTTGCAGTGTCTTGCTATTTCGACATACTTATCTAGGTCCAGAGGCGCCATTATGGAAAGGCTACAACATAGGCTAATGCTAATGCGGCTAGCAGCTTGCTCATGAGCGCCTCTCTTCTTCCTTTACCATTACTTCTTGTTTCACTATTGACCAAGTCGAGTCAAGTGAAATCACCATTTAAACATCCTGTATTTACCTAAAGAATAAAACATTACTTTACTGGGTCACACATATGATCAATGACTATCGTAAACAAAAAATTATAGCAATATAAATAAGTAAAAAAAAAAAAAAAAAACTTTTAATGAAAGCCAAAAACGGAGAACTAGTTTATTTTTTCTTCACATATTAAGCCATTCATTTTGATTGAAAGTTGAGGTGTTAATCTACCAAAATAAAAATCTAATTACAAAAGCAGACTACACCACAAACAGAGACGCACAAGAAAAGACAAAGAACAAAATTATGATGGCATAAAACCTAGAAGGCTGCAGAGTAACAAACTGGGGGTGACAAACAAAAACAAGTTGTTTATGCTAATTATTTATTGATCATCAATGTGTTTGATTTGCCACATCTGGTTAGACCAATGGGTTAAACGTCATTGGTGGTCCTTACTGAACTATCTCACTCCCCTGAGCGTGTGGTTTGCAGTGTCTGCGAGAACAAGCTCACAAACTGTCCTCACATCGTCATTTGTGTGTGTCTGATTTGATTTTTAACAACTATATGACTACGGCAAATTTCTGGACACTCTGTATAAAAAACAGAAACATGCATCTTTCCATGTTGTCCATTTTATAGTAATCCCACCAGCCTTCTGATCCCAAATATTTCTATCTTTGTCCCCCTGCTGGAGTACTTTGTTCCCTTTATTCTTTTGAACATTGTGGAAATCAATGGGATTCTCAATTTATCCAAAAAAAAAAAAAAAAAAAAAAAAGAAAGAAAAAAAAGAGAGAGAGAGAGAGAGAAAGAGAGAGAACAAAATGTTCCCTTTATGCTTTTGAGCAGAACACTTGCTTGGGATCCAGAATAGATTACTTCTTTTTCACTTCTCCGGTACTTAGTAAAATGTAAAAGATAGAGAGATATCATTCTAAATTAGTCAGGCAACTAAAAACAAGTACATATTGTTGTCAAATTGTTGCACCTCTGTTTCAGTTCCACCATCTCATGTGAGAAAGAGAATGGATCAACAATTTTAGCTGTGTTGTATTTCTCCAAATAGCACCCTAGGATTGCACTACTAAACCATCAAAGGAATACACCTTCAGATATAGCCTTGTCTTAGCCTATGGAGTTTTAACAAAACATGAACAGCTAAAGATCTGAGATTTTCATGTCAGTCATTTAATTCAGATAACCTATTATTCATTTCCGTGCACTTTCAAGAACCACACTAAAAGCACATAACACATATAATGGAACTAAAGTCCTTAAATGTATTCAAATGGTTTATAAAGACGTTCCAAAAATGAAAATAACATAGTATATGAAGCTATAGGGTTAATGCAAAGTTGAAGCCATTATAGGTTGGTCCAGCCAATATAACACATATAATTTATTTGCATGGGTATATTTTTTATATGTAGACTAAATGGATTATAAAGGGTTAAGTGACCGTGGCGTAGTTGCACATGCTGGGTGACAGCATTTAAGGAGGGCTTGAGTCCTGAATTCATTCATTTCACTGCAAGTGGTGGATGCTGCTTTATGCACTGCGAGCTTTAGATCAGCAGCGTGTGTTGAGCCGCTAACTTGATTTACCGCTCGAGAAAACGAGCGAGATGCAGACTTTCCTGTTGTGCTGTAGCATCTTGCCACTGCAACTTTTTGTCTTTATTCACTCTTTGCCGCTATACGAACTCAAGTCTGAGCAACAGGTGAGTGCAAATACAATTATTAAAAACAGATGCTTTTATAATGAGTTATGAGTGAAGCAGGCTAAACACAATGTCACAAGATTACACTTCAGGTTATATTGCGTTAGTGTTCAGCCAAATTATAATGGTGTTTATCTGCATTAATATAGGTTATACAAAAAACATGTCCTAATAGCCTGACTTCTTTATCGTAAGACTTTACCCTATTTGATGTCTTTCAGAAATGGATGCTTTGGTTTTGTAGCGATGGATGAAAGGACATAAATATCTATCTATATTTAGAACCGGGCATTTATGTCTATTGGTTCTTGATGGAAGTCAGATGTGTTACAGATATTGCTGTCAACAACTGCAGTGAATAGATTTTTACAGGCAGAAACAAGTCATCTGGCATCTGGAGCCGTATAGAAACTTTGCTGATTAAGGAAATTTTAAGTTGAGTAAGGCATGGAGCAAGCTCACAACAATGTTCTACAATGTTTTGATGAAAAACACTGAGTCCTGCCAAATGGGACAACGTATGGGAACAACTCTCCATGTTATAATCCCAGATAATGGAGTTCTTAATGTTTAATAAAGTCCATCAAATTAATTGTTGACAGCTTAATCTCCAATGCATACAGTCATGCCCTAACTATGAATACGTTATTGTGGTTATAAGGCCACCCAATGGAAAATAGACCAACTTTACGAACAAAAGCAAATGATTTATGGTTGTTTTCTTCCTGCTAGTGTTAAGCAGATGCTTGAACTGTTATGGCACCATATGCTGCCACAATTGAAATAATGCTTATCAAATTTAATTTTAACCCCTCTTTATTTCATGCATGGGACATGCTTATATTACCTTTAGTGATTGTAGTCATTGATGTACACTTAGTAATTAGCCACCTACTGTCACCTCAGCATCCACAGGTTATAGTTGCAGACATTGTGATGTCATGCCCAAACAGGGGATTTCCAGACATCAGCTTACCCTGTCTACCACTTTTACGAAGAACTGAGAAAACATATGAATGTTTGTTATTAGCCTACCCCAGTCTGCATGTTAATACTTGAATTTAAAAAGTTGGCTGACATAAAAACATAGTGCCTGACCTGCAAATCCATTTTAAAAGATACAACAATGGTGTGCTTTGTGGACCACCTTGCTGATGGTTGGGCAGAAGTGTTTGGATGAGAGTCAGAGACCTGTTGTAACATGTTTGCCCGTGCCTCAGAATTCCCATCAAACACAAAGCTTTGTTTCAGCAGATATGAAAAATGGTTACTGACTTGGACTGTCACTCACCTTAAAGTTAGTTTGTTAAATCAGCATAGCCTGGGGAAACACTTTTTGCTGAGGCAAGGAAATACGTCTACATTATTTGTTGGCTATGTTCACTTAAAGGAGTTCATTAAGTATAATCTAAGACATGTGCCATTGTTTGTTGGTTGTATGCAGGGTCCACATTGTGTACATTATGCAGAGTGAGTTATTTTTTGGCACACAGTTCACTGGTTGGATCACACTTCATAGACCTTGTGTATCTGTCTCTCAGTAAAACAAGATAAACTGCTGGTGGTCTCATAATAAATGAACTTAAAACAGATACTAAAATGACTAGATGAAAAACAGTTGTTCTATGATTATATTTGTCAGTCATTTGAAGCATTTCAGGCTTACAATGCTTAAATTTAAATTATTTGCAACCCATAATGTTGCCTGTGCAAGAATTAAAACAGTCCACTCAGCGACTTTGAACGTAAGCATAACTAACAACAATCATAGGCTACAAGAGGCACAGCTGACCACGTTACTGTCATGTTGCTGTCATCTCAGCAAAATAGGCTGCACCCAACAGTATTATGGGACCTCTATGGAATCGCCGCAGTATGCATTCAATATGTTTAGAGAAATGTGATCCTGATTTAGTTTTTAGTCCCATATTGGCCCAAAAATGCAGTCCTGATTCAGAATTACCTCAGGTCATTGCACTATTTTGTACAAAATGACATTTAGATGACGAATATCTTGTGTGTATTAAGGCGTAATTTAAACAAGGATTATGCATACACTTGACTTCTTATTGTTTATCAAATGCTTTGTTGTTTTACAGGGAGGGCCTCACAGCCACAAAAATGTGGGTCAGAAAAAGAGGGAAAGGCATGAACAGCCAACACTAAATGACAAACATAATTTGATGTCATTAGTATTCCCCAGTAATGACACAAAGTGGAAAAGGCCTCGCTGTGGAGTACCAGATTATCACACGCTGTTGAAAGTAGACCTGTCGTACTACAACATGAAGAAAAAAAAGAAGGAAGGACAGAGCCGGCAGCAGCGCAAGAAACGATTTGCACTTTTTGGGGGGCGTTGGGAAAAGACTGATCTCACATACAGGTAAAAAAAATGACCATAAATCACAATTTAACACAAAACATTTAGGATTAAGAATGACTTAATTGAGCCAAACAAGCTGTCTTAGTGTTAACAGAGAAGTTGCATACCATTAAATGTGTTTACAATTTAAGTAAACAGTTGTAGGATCTCCAATAGGCAGAAGAGTTTATTATTCATCTTGTATTCAGGGGAACATTAGCAAACTCACACAAGTCAGTACTTACGCAATAATGTGTAGTTTATGTGAGCATTAACCAAGTGTAGTACCTCTAAATTCAACAAGCTTTTCTAACCTTCTCAGAGGAATAAACATGTGTTATAATGTGTTTTGAATGTACATTTTTGTGTAGGATTGTGCGCTTTCCCTGGCAGATGAGTGAGGCTAAAGTGCGTCATGTTTTGGACCAGGCCTTCAGAGTCTGGGGCGAAGTGACACCTTTGACCTTCACTGAAGTCATGTCAGAGAAAGCCGACATTGTCATTGACTTCAACAGGTGAGAGTTACCAGTTTTTTTGTTTCATGTTGATAGGCCCAATAATTAAAGATCTCATTATTATTAGAACTATTCTCTAACTATACTTAACTATATTTAACATTTTTTGTTGGATTAACATACTATAATCTGAATATCGTTAGTGGGATACTCAAAAATATTGAGAAATATTTCACATGACATTATAAACTATCTATATCCCATCCAATGATGTCCTACCAAAGAACTGACTTCGTTGCAACTACAACAATTTTCTATATTGAGTTTTCACTCATAAACATGTGGCAATCTGTTTCCTCATGAATCTCATAAAATGCAGAACCATATTATTTACAGATTGAGTCCACAAACTTTCCAGATTACATTTATGACTGCCTCTTTCTCTCCATTTGAAATGATGACATCACACTGAATGCATCTTATTATGTTCTGCCCTCATGTTCAGTTTTAAACTATAGGCAATAGTGTTATGGCATCACCCAATAGTGTTACAGCACACTAAACCATTTGTTTTAAATCAGATACTGGCATGGTGACAGTTTACCCTTTGACGGTCCTGGGGGAATCCTTGCCCATGCCTTTTTCCCACGAACACACAGAGAAGGAGAGGTCCACTTTGATTATGATGAGCACTGGACTGTGGGGAATGATGTTGGTAAGTATAAAAATATAAACAAAATGTTTGATTAAAAATGTGTGTGTGTGTGTGTATATGTATATATATAATATATATGTATATATATATATATATATATATATATATATATATATATATATATATATATATATATATATATATATACATATATATACACACACACACACACACACATATATATATATATATACACACACACACACACACATACATATATATATTTGTTGGCAATGGCAATGAAAGAAAAATCAACAATCATCACTGAAATAACTTGAAACTGATAAAAGAAAAAATTACTGAAAACTGCCCAATCAAACACTGCTTTTCACCTGTGGTTAAACAGAATTATTAGAAAAAACTAAATAATGAAACTGGCCTGGACAAAACCTTTTGAGGCAAACTCTGCAAGCAGACGATTTCTGTAACTGTCAGTGAGACTTCTGGTCAACAGGTATTTTGACCCATTTCTCATAAGCAAAATGCTCTAGTTGCCTTAGGTTTGAAGGGCGCTTTCTCCAGACAGCATGTTTCAGCTGCTTCCACAGATGTTCAGTAGGACTGAGATCTGGGCTCACAGAATACCACTCCAGAACAGTCCAAAGTTTTGTTCTTAGCTGTTCTTGTGTGTTTTTAGCTGTGTGTTTTGGGTCATTATCCTGTTGGAAGTCCCATGACCTATGACTGAGACCAAGCTTTCTGACACTGGTCAATACATTTCATTCCAAAATTCCTTGATAGTTTTGAGATTTCATTGTACCTTGCACAGATTCAAGACACCCTGTGCCAGATGCAGCAAAACAGCCCCAGAACATAACCAAGCCTCCTCTGTGCTTCACTGCAGGGGCAGTGTTCTTTTCTTGGTGTGCTTCATTTTTGCATCTGTGAACATATAGGGCTGATGTGAGCTCCAGTTTTGCCTCATCTGTCCAAAGGACATTCTCCCAGAAGCTTTGTGGCTTGTTAATATGCATTATGGCAAATTAAAGTCTCACTTTTTTATGATTTGCTCTCAACAGTGGTGTCCTCACATGAAGTCCACATTGGCTCAAACAGTGACGGATGGTGCGATCTGACACTGATGTACCTTGCCTTTCAAGTTCACATTTAATTTGTTCGGAGGTTGTTCTGGGCTCTTTGGTTACCATTCGTATGATCCATCTCTTCAATTTGTCATCAGTTTTCCTCTTGTGGCCATGTCCAGGGAGATTGGCTACAGCCCTGTGGACCTTAAACTACTGAATAACATGTGCAGCTGTAATCACAGGAACATCAAACTGCTTTGAGATGGTCTTATGGCCTTTATCTTTAACCTGCTTGTCTATCATTTTCTTTCTAGTGTCCTGACACAGTTCTCTTCTTCTCTTTCTCTGGTCCATGTTCAGTGTTGTCTCCATCATGTCTCCAAAGAGCACAATGACACATGTCACCCTTCAAACAGGCAGACTTGACTGAGGACAAGTTTGAAGACACCTGTTATGCCAATTAGAGGACACACCTAAATTTAACATGTCCCTGTTGTCCAATTATTTACAATCTTTTCTAGAGGTACCATCATTTTTGTCCCGGCCAGTTTCATTAGTTTGTTTTTTTAAATAATTCTGTTGAACAACAATTCAAAAACAGTGTCTGATTTTCATTGGCTATTTTTCAAGAATTTTTTATTTATTATTGCTTTTCTTAGTTTCAAGTTATTTCAGTGAAAACTGTTGATTTTTTTTTCATTAGCAGAGGGGTACCAACAATTTAGTTCACATCTGTATATATATCCCCAGGGGAGGGTGTGCCACCTGCTTGTCTCCAAAGAAATGTCATTGCTTTGCCAAGAATGTTCCACAGTAAAGCATTTAACTTATCTATCTCCATGGAGACAAGCGGGTGAAGGCAAGGTTAAGGCCTGCGCACACTGGGGTGCTTTGAGATGCACGTAAAAAAAGGCGCCTCCATAATATTCTATGAGCTTGCACACACTGCCTGCACTCCACTGCACTCGACCAACTGCCATCATTGGAACTTGTTGAACTTAGATGCGCCACCGTGGCTGAAAACACATGCTTTTTGAACTGCTCTATAAGTACAGACAGGTGTCTGCTCTGAGATCAGCGCATGCATCTCTCTAAACTTTGAGGACGAGATTCGCAAGTGGCAGAGAAAGCACCTTCTCTTCTCCCACTCTCACAGTGGGGGGATTTTATTCTCGCAATGGAACCGTGGTAGAATAAATAGTATGCAAGGTGAAGGTATGCAAGATAAAATAGGCCTTACATCGAACCGATGAAATAGAACAGTCCAGTGCAAAACTATTGTACAATCAGTTACTATGTACAGTACTGTATACAGACAACAATAAGTGCTAGGTAAAGTAGCCACAGAACATTGCACTGGTTTGATTTCACGTTTCCCCCATCAACCCAAAACATGCTACATAGGTCTCCATAAACAGTTGATAGTCAAGGTCAATTAAAATACAGTCAATTCAATCACTGTGTGTCCTTAGGCAAGACACTTCACCCACATTGCCTAGTATGAAAGTGGTGTGTGTGTGAGTGATGGTGGTGGTCGGAGGGACCGATGGCACCGAATGGCATGACAGCTGCGCTTCTGTCAGTGTGCCCCAGGGCAGCTGTGGCTACAATAGTAGCTTACCATCACCAGGGTATAGAGTGAATGAATAATGCTGAATAATGCTCTGTAAATCGTCTTTGGGGACAGAAAATGTCTGTGAAAAGCGCTATATAAATAAAGACTTACTTACTTACATTTAATACAGTATTGCACGTGATTGCTGCAGATGTATTACACATGTGCAGATAAATGTTGTGCTGTCCTTAGGCACAGATCTCCTTCAAGTGGCAGCGCATGAGTTTGGCCATGCCCTTGGACTCCAACACTCCCTTGAACCAGACGCTGTTATGTGCCCGTTCTACAGTGATTCATACCCTCTGCAGCTCAGTGAAGACGACAAGAGAGGCATTCAGTATTTGTATGGCCCCCCCAGGCCCACAACACCGGACCTTGCAGAGACTAATGAGCTTGACATAGGAATGGTAAGGGCTGTAATACGTGACTAACTGTATCACTGTTTATAGCAAAATTGACATTCAATTATGACTACCTCAGCCTGACACCTGCCGAACCAACTATGATGCTGTGTCTGTGATCAGAGGAGAGCTCTTCTTCTTTAAGTCCCAGTATGTTTGGCGCATTAGGGATGGGCGACTTGAGGCTGGTTACCCGGCTTTGGCCTCCCGTCACTGGAGAGGTATCCCTAACTACATTGATGCAGTCTATGAGGACAACTCTGGGAACATCTGGTTCTTCCAAGGTTTGTACATCAAATCCCTTCACTACAGATACACTTTACTTGTAGTTCACTTGCCTGGGATCCAGAATAGACACTTCTTTAATACTTTATGAAAATATGAGTCTGGTCACTGGTGAATCTCCCTCTTTTCAGGTAGGCACAATTGATAGGTGGATTAGGGACACGCATGATCTGTATATATACCAAAACAAATATGGCTATTTAAAAAAGAAAAAATAAAGATATATATCACACGTGACTGATGAATGTGATGTAATGCTGAACTGTTTAATAAATACATATTTTTAATGTATTGCAATTGTGACATCAACCTGTTCAGGGACTAGAGGTGGAAACTAGCATTTTTGTTAATGTCTTTTGTGCATTGTCCTTGATCAAATTAATAAATTCAGTTCAGGATATGGTACGGATCGCAACCTGTAACGGAAAACATATTTGATGCACATATTCAGTATTCTATAACAAAATGCATTTCTTCCCAACAATGCTGATCAGTTTATTAATGTTGTCTTTTTGATAGGCGAGAGTTACTGGGTGTTTGATGCTGAGAGGAAGATAACTGGGCCAGATTCAGTGTGGAGGCTGGGTCTACCTGTATCAGATATCCAAGCTGCTTTAAAATGGGAAGTGGGTAATATACAGAAAGTCTTCTTCTTCAAGTCCTTGTCTTACTGGTCCTTCAGTCCACTGGAGAACCGAGTTGACAGTGTCCACCCACAGACCATGCCTGAATGGAGCGGCATACCCAAACATATAGATGCAGCATTTCAAGACAGATATGGTAAGGGCAGGAGCCACATGCTTCGATTAATGCATTACCTGCTTAAAAAATATAAAAGGTTTGTCTTTTCACAGGGTATGTCAATTTCCTGAGTGGGATACAATATTGGAAGTTTGACCCTGTAGCGCTGAAGGTGTTAGATGGCTACCCTCGATATATTGGCACTGATTTCTTTGGCTGCTCCAGTTAAGCATACATATGAGTGTAAAACATATATCCTGACATTTATTAATTCTGGTCCAAAGTCTTTTATTAATCATGCATTATGTTTATTAATATAAATCCAATGACCTTGTATGTAAGTATGCCAGACAATGTTCTTAATTGTTTTTTTCTTTTTTGTTTTGTTAGATGTCCAAAATACTTTTCAGAAAGAATCAATTTGCTTCTGAGCCAGCATTTGAGGAAATTGAGCATCTAGTGCCACTCACACACTATTAAAGAATTGGTCCAATGTGGGCAGCTGACATGGATACTCAGGTTACAAATTGTTAATGAATAACAGGCAAACAATATAGGTTTGAATGAAGGTTTGGTTACTTCACCAGCAAATAACTCTCCTAAACCTCTATTAGTATCCCACGTCTCAATTAAAGGTTGTATAGAGGATTTTCTAAGGAACGAGAAATCCAGCGACTGTTTGTCCTTTTTCAAATGTTGCGCATGCGTGAAACCACCCCCCCTCCCCTACAGCTCCCTACATAGAAACGCCTCCTCCCTCCTCCTCCTTACGCCAGAAACAGGTTTGTTTACAGCCGGTGCGCTGCACATGACTTGTGAACAACTAACTACAGTGTTGGTTAGTCAAGACGGAGAAGTGAGGAGCGGGGGGAGTGGTGCGCGGAGATTCCGTGCCCGGAGAAGTGAGGAGGAGGGGGAAGAGCGGAACGGGCAGCGGGGAGAGGAGCAGTAAGGGGTGCAGAGAAGGGTGCGCGGAGATTCAGTGCGAATGAACTAGCTACAACACGCAGCAGCAAGCGGACTCTTTCTTTGTTTGATTGACAGCCTATCAGCTCACAGATAACGAGGCAGTGTCGTTATCTATTGGCAAATTTTTATCTGGCCCCACCACGTCCAGAGTTGATGAATTTTTATTCTCTTTTTTGGTCATCATAATTACAAGGCTACTGCACCTCTATAATCTATCACTGACAATTTGAAACAAAAAAAAATCCTCCATACAACCTTTAACACTCCAGTTCTCAGTGATTACATTTGGTGCCTTTTTTCTTACTCCAGATTTTTGTCAGTTTTAAATGTTTTAGTATTTTTAAGGCATGGCTGAAAGAGTCATTTGTGTCTTTCAGCCATACAATTGGATATTTTTTTATAAGAAACATGTTAAATATTCTCAATATTATTGTGTACAGAGTGCTACTGTAAAAGCTCAGTGCAGGACACTGAATATGTCAATAACACTGTGATGTGTCACATTGATAACTTGTTGTATGTATTTTTTTATGTATAGCTCTCTTCCAAGAAAATAAAGTAATTTTGTGTAGCTTTAATCATTTATTCAGACTAAAATTTTAGTAACTATATCTGTCCCTAACATTCTGCAACATCCAAAACTTTTTGTGGCTTCATCCAAAATAGATGACCTTGTTTGTAATCTTTTATTTCATTTGTGTATAAAAGACCCCACTAATACACAAGCATACAAAGAGAACTTCATAATACACACTGATCCATTGCTTCAATTGCCTTACATGGTACAACAGAGGAATCTTTTGGTATTGTACAGCCTGCTACAGTTCAGCAGTGAAGTGAAATCTACCCATGATCACTAACAACAATGTAATGAGGCACAACTTCAAACTGAACAAAACAAATTCAAACTGAAATATCTGACTATTTAGAGCAAATATTTTAGGAGCCTGTGGACTTGAATTTGGCAGACTGAAATTAATAGTTTTGAACCCCCTTGAACATCGTACAAGCCCACCAAACAAACAAAATGGAAGTGGATTATGTAGCCCTGGACTAGTAAATTATTTAATAAACTACATTATAAGCTCTTGTGGTAATTTACTATTATTTAGATAAAATCTTTGTTCATTTGTCAGGGCAAAGAAAATGAAAACATTATCCTAAAAAATTATACATTTAAAGAACAATTTCAACTTAATAACCTCCATGCATGACCTTGTGCCTGGGTAAATTTTATATTAGTGATACAGAGCAAAGGGCAGTTTACATAAATTTTGTCTTCATTCATTTAAAGAAGTTCAAACACACTGCATTTAAATGTTTTCAACAAAGTAGAAAGAAATTCACTACATCATAATTTGTAGTTCCTACTTAATGTTATTTTACAAAAATTACATTCTCAGTAAATACAAGGTAATATGTTGTTGTTGGAATCTATGTTAAAAGAATGAATGTGTTTTCCATGAAGGATGATGCAGATGATGCAAGTGATGTTAGTGTCTGACAACAGGTTCAACTTTAATCAACTGTGCTTCAATAACACTATGGGAATATTGTGATATAGTAACAGCAGGCTCCAGGTAAACTTCAATACACCACCTACCACGAAGGAGCAGTGTTGGCCAATCGCCTCATCCGTCTGTAAAACATTGTAAGGTATAAGGTTACATATATTATTTTTTCTCCACTGCCCTTTTGATGAACTACACTTACCTTGTATTGCGATCTTGATCTCGGATTTTCTTTTCCATTTCTGCATCTGTGAGTGTTTCCAGCAGAGGACACCACTGGTCTGCATCCCCTGTATTTCGAATAGCAATTTCCACTGTAGGAAGTGGATTTTCACTGGAGAAAAAAACAGGAATGTAAAGTTTTCTAAAAAAATCCATCTTAAAAATGATTCTAAAGTAATAGTTTGTGGATACCTGAAGGCATAGGTCCTCTGGTGCCAACTAAGCTGACCACGGATGCTGTATGCAATAGTTGTTACAAACTCACCACCCAGGCCAAGCTCAGAACACAGTTTCAAAGCAAAAGACTCTGGAGAGTTCTCTTTTTCAGACATGTCCCACTCAAACTGGTCCACCAAAGAGATGTTTCCTACGTGAATATTCAGCTGTAAAATAAACAATATGAAAACAATGTTTATGTACAAAGGCTTGTCAAATTTCAGTAACTTTGACTTCCTTGGGTGTTTTGTATTTTAGAAGGAGTGTTTAATTGTTATATTACAGTCACTCACCTTTATAATGACTCTCTGGTCTGCCTGTTCTTCTAGTATACTGTCAGTAGGATAAGACTCTATCTGCTGACGAATGGCCGATGCAATGGCAGGAACAAACGCCAATGGATTTAGATCAAGGTCATCACATAAGATCTCTGCAAACATCTCTGGTGTCATAAGTTTTTCTGTAGGAGATGGACAAACAACAGTGGTCATTACATTCAAGTACATCACATGTACACGTGTAAGATTACAGATCTGCACCATTCATATTCCAGGTGAAGGTATCTCTCAGCTTCTGACCATCGATCTCCATGTCCAGACGAATGGGAACCAGCATCTCAGTTTGAGCTGCATTCTCGTGAATGACTGCTGGATCATGGTCATCAAAGCTAAATTTGATCATGGCATTTAAGTGTGGTTAGTAAGTACTGCAACACAAGAGTTGCTTTTCCAAATTTTGAGTAAACATACCACAAAGGGAATGTCCTTTTCTTGTCTTTACCAATTCGGTTGCGGTTAATCGTGGTGGAGCAAGGCACTGCATCAAGGTGGTGGGAACTGTTGGGTAATGTAGGCACCCATTGGCTGCTACGCTTTGCCTTTTGTTCCCTATGAAAGCATATAACAATATATTAAACAATTATGTTACGTGAAAGTAAGCTGCAAATAATTTGTATTAACCTGAGATAGGCTGGGGGCTCAGTACTGATAGACACGGCTTTATACTTCTCATCATTCCCTTCAAAGATCTCTTCACACTCTGATGCTTTCAGAAGAGTTACACTGGTGGCTATCAATGTAATAAATACAAATTAAGCAGTATGTTAAGCTGATTTTTTAAATACTTATGTATAATGTTTTACTTGCCATGTGAAGATGCAACTATCTTTTTCCTCTCCTCTACTGACGCAAGTCTTCTCCACAAAGACGGATATCTTTTATACAGGGAGCCTCTAAACATACGCAGATAGTTTCCAACCTGAAGAACACCACAGGTCCAAATGTTAAAACACTGTATGCATAGAAGCGTTGCATTTCATGGTAACAATTGTGTCAATTTGCAAACAAATAAATACATTTTAAAAGGTTTGTATAGCAAGCTTCTCTTTTCTGTAAACAAACAAACAACAAACAAACAAAAAAACTTCCAAACAGTACTTTCCCCCCTTTGGTGTCTGTTGTTGTCTGGACATTTCTTTGTTTATCAATGGGCACAGTTAGATCAATGGGATGCCATGTGGCTAGCCAGTTAGCATACGCAAGGCAAAACAGAAACATGGATTGAAGTACACTTACTTCAGAGCCAACCATGTAAAAATCTCCATCTTCTTCAAGTTGAAATTTGACTGGCTTTTGCCCAAATGTTTTACTAAGAGCTAATGGCATCATTTTGATCGTGCCAACGAGTTAACCGAGAGCAATAGCCTGTTTCCTTTCTGTTGTGTTTATGTCCGGAACAAAATGGGAAAATACGGTGCTATGTTTGATTTCCATTTACTATAGAACCCACTACGACCATTTTATTTCGTTTAGCCTCTAAAAATAAGTAATAAATCACTGTGTTTAAATAACTCGTGCGCCAAAATATTGTTCAAAAAAGGCTAAAAGTTGAGGTAATTGAACACTCCGTTTATCCAATTTTTATAAATGCAACAGCGCGCTCTCGTTGTGGTCGGACATGCAATACAGCTCATGCTTGCCCCCTACTGCTGACCTGCGCAAATGCACTACAAAAGTCCACAAACTTGATATAGCGAGGTTAGTATGCATCATGGATGTAGGAGTTGGAATTAAACAAAATATAAATTAGATCTTTCTTTATATCCTACTTTATTCCACTGTGCCTACCGACCCCCATCCATAAACCACACAGTCAAAAAAAAAGAGACCTTCACTTGCCACAGAGATTTATTATTTATAAAAGTGAAATGGAAAAAAAAAAGCACTTTGCCATATGAACAGGACAAGTAATCCTGAATTATTTTAGTTGCTGCCATCCTTCGTTTTTTTCATCAACACTTTTGATGAAGACCAAACATCACCAAGCTAAAGAGTCACCATTCACAGTTCAGAGAAGCTTGCATTCTTTCTAATATTCATGGAGCATCAATCTGGCTTCAAGAAGAGTTTCTCGGGATGATTTTGGGCCCATTTACAAAAACAACAGACGGTTACTCCCAAATAAGTTCTGGTTGGTTTGGCATTCATAGTCCAGAACTTCACAAACATGTCATAAGACCATGTTCGTCCCTTCATCTTGAGGGAATGTCCGCAGTGCCCCTAAAACCAGGGATGGCACAGAGGCCTGTTAGCCTCCAAGTCGCTGTCCTTCTCCCCAGGCAAATCCTCCAGGACGCTCTTCAGGCAGAGGATTATAGTTGGCATCTTCCTCAGGAGTGTCAAAAAGCATCTTTCTGCAAAATAAATAAATAATGTGTCTGTCTTTTCTTGTTTTGTTTTTTATTTTGTTGTAAGCTATTGTTGTTGTTTTTGAAGCTTACATGATAGATGGTGTCTTAAGCAAACGTCCACCTCCAGGCTGGTTTGGAAAAACATCTTCCAGGAAAAAGTACACATGTCCAACAGCAATACCTAGAATGTAGAACATCTGAAATACAAGCACTATTGAAATACAAGCACTATTGACAATTATGCATACCTAAAAGATCCACAATAATTGAGTTCCCCAGCAGAAGTGAAAATCCCATCAAAACCCAGGGCAGAAAAGGAGCCTGGAAATTCAGCAGGCCAAAGAAATTCATGCGAACATTAGGGTTTCTTCTGCTCCACACATAAACCAGCATAATAGTAAAGGCTTGGCCCAGGAAAACCAAGCTCACAAATGTGCCAAAGATCTAATGTTTTGTTAAGGAACAATGCTACTGAACAGCTGCTACATACTTTTCTGTGTAATATAGATATCACAACATGCATGTCAAAAACAATCATTGAGTTATTTGAAAGAGGCTTTACAAAGAAACAATGATATATGTATTATTATTCATAATCATGATTAAAGCTACCATTTGTAATTAAGCCCTGCTGTACATAACACCACCTGATGCTACCTATGTTAGTGCTGCCTGACTGTGTGCCAGCTTTGGTGTGACAGAAGAAGACCAGAGTGCACAGGTGAACCTGAACAAAGGCCAGGTGGGGGGTGGGGGGGTGGGGGGGCAAGATTCACAATTGTCATCTATTGGTTAAAAAAAAAACAGAAAAAAGTTACAGATGCTAGTTTTGAAATATTAGTTGTATTAAATAAATATATTTTACTGAAAAGGATACAGTCATCAGTAGGCCACCAAAAAGGAACATAAAGACGAAGTCAGCGGTCCGCCCCCTGAAAGATCCTTCTTCGAGCATTCGACAATATCTGTATCTAAAAAGAGATGTTAAGATAAAATATTCCAAACAATACTCATATTCAGCTGCTTACATAAAGTTTAAATTGCAATAAATACTTCTTGACTAAATGTATTGAATTACAAAAGGATACAAAAATATCATGTTGAATAGAAAATTGAAGCCAACAGGACCGAAAAAGAGGAAGTTGGTTATTAGTCGCCATACCTGTGAAAACAAATAATTCACTTATACAACGTGCTAGATTCAATGTTGTGATAAGTAATACATAGCAGTTACTTACTTGATAATTCCTTAAAATCAAATCTGGATTGAAGTATAACTGAAAGGGTGTAATGATCTCTAATTGCTGCAAACAAACAAACCAAAAAAACTTTATTATCACCCCCAATTCACACTAAATTGAAAGACACGCCATGGTAAAATATTTCTAACAATATATGAATGGAAAATAACAGTTTGTTCATGTATAAAATAACAATTAAATCAAAGTATTACAAATGGGCGTTAGTCAAATGGAGAACCACTCAGCGCACGCCACTGCATCTGAAAGTGCAAACCAGCCAATGGACCTACAGCACCTGTCACTGATGCAAAATTATCTGTACATCAAACTACCAGCACTGTTTTTTGATTAAAAAAAATATCCTGAATATAATGAATGTGACTCACAAAAACAAAACTTTTGCAAGAGTTACACACAGGATTGCCTGTTTTAAATATAACAATGTAATGACAGTGAATCTTGATAACCAAACTTTATTCAAACGTCACTAAAATAAACGCTGGTTTGAACCGTAACTTGGACTCACCCCACTGAAGTCTACAGCAATAAAAATACATTAAACTGTAGTGTAACGTAGCGTTATTGATGCTGAGTGAAGCTGAGTTATCACTATGATTTTTTCTATGAGTTATGATAACACACAGATGATAGGTGTCATTTCACAGCAGAAACTTTCACTTCACGTTGCTAGCTTGAATGCAATTTTGATTACCGTTAATAATGTTCTAAAAGCACTCTCTATTTTCGACATCCAGGTAGCTCTCCCCCCTCATACACAGAGATTTTTGATCATGTTTTGGACACGTAACATTACCCCTCTGTTGCTGTAGCTAACCTTCCTAGCTATCCTCAAAATAAACCTTCTCTCCAATAAGATTCAACACTAATAAACAGCTGTATTAAAAATCTTGTACAAACACAAAATCTTACCACCGCTGCTGTAGTGAGGACACAGGCTGTGGTATAAGCCCTAGTCACAACAGGAATCTGTAAATATTCCTGCTGTAGGGTTTGGTAAGCCATTTTGGACTGAAACAGAGAGCACTTCCGGACTTTCATGACACGTCATTTCAGAGAGCCATTTAGGGGGCGGGGTCAGGGGCGGATCTGATCTAACTCTGACTTAGACTTAGACAAGCTTTATTGATGCACAAGGGAAATGATTTGGACACAATGGGTCACACATCACAATATAATATTATAACAAAGAGTAAAAAATATAAATGATAATAATAAATTCTAAACAATTATCAAAAAAGATAGCAAGAAACGTGTGTCAAATAAGGCATAATTGTATAAGTGTATATGTACAAGTCAAAATAAAATAGAAACATAAGTCAAATATAAAATCTCAGTTATACACAAGAGGTCATAGGAAGACTGTGCAAACAATAGTATGATAATGGACAGGACATATGGTTATCTGTTACATAACGGTGAGTTGTACAGTTGTAGGGAGTATTATCTGTTACATAAGGGTGAGTTGTTGTACAGTTCTACTGAGTATAGTATGAATGTAGTCCTGTATCTCTCACTGTTTGAGAAGAGCTGTGGGAGCTTGTTGGAGAATGAGCTCCTCTGTGCCTCTATAGTCTGGTGCAGTGGGTGAGCAGGAGTGTCCATGATGGAGAGCAGTTTGTCCAGTGTCCTCCTGTCCCTCACTGTGACAAATGTCTCCAGCTCACAGCCAGTCACGTGACCAGCTTTACAGCTCAGTTTGTCAATCTGCCCAATGTCCCTTTTATAGATGCCAACTGGCCCTTTTACTGGTGCCAATCTGGTCCCATGCAAAGACTCTACACTAGTCTATGGGCCCCTGCATTTAATACATATGCTTATTAACAGGCACTCTCCCGACCAAATAACAAGTAGTATTTTGTATTTTCAATGCAACTATGCATAGTTCCTGCATTTTCAGTTATCTTCTCATTGGTTTAGATAGCCTACATCAGGCATGTCCAAACTATGGCCCAGGAGCCAAATGTGGCCCTCAGACAAATTTTTCTTGGCCCTCAGACATCCAGGTGAAATGGCCCAAATTACCTTGCATCAAATAAAAATACTTGTTTTTTCTGAAAATCTACCTTGATAAAGCTAATATTTAATATTTAGTGTGTGATTTTAAGGATCTCAGCATGAATAAAGACTGATGGTTCATTCTAATGTGTTAAACATGCACATATTTAATTTATTCACTGTACTGAGCTCCAGTCTACAGCCCTCGATCGGCCCTCTGTTTCATCTGTGTTTAGATATGTGGCCCTTGAAGAAAAAAGTTTGGACACCCCTGGCCTACATTCTGTATTAAGAGCTGAAATACATACATACATTTTACAAGTCACATAAACCTCTTAGTAGGTTAACATTTAAAACAACTTGGTGAGTAATATCTAATGTTAACAGTGCATCTACAGGGCAAATGGTTTGATACAATAACACAATTAAACAGAGTGGAGATATGTAACTTTTGATATCATGATAACAGAATGGTGATATTATCAGCAAAGAAGCGAGCACTGCTAGAAATGTTCAGATACTGCATTTAAATTCCCACTCAAAGACAAATCAAGATAATAATGTTGTAGTTTAAAAATGACATTTTAAAATTTATTTAGGTATTGTAGTCAAAATGTACAACCTCTGTGAAATTTTTTCATCAAAAGTTACTAAAGGTACATCGTGCAATCTTTCTTGTGGATGACCTACCAGAACGTTTTTCTTATTGTGTTGATATGCATATGTTATTGACTTTCCTGGCATGTTCCACAGTATGGCATTAAAGTTTTCTATCTTGCATTTATTCTTACTGCAAGTGGGGTGGTGACTTGCCTCTTCACAAATCTGACCTGAAACTTTCCCTGGTTTCGCCATGCTTATCTACATGGAATATACGTCCAATGCCATACTGTTGAACATGCCAGGCAATGTAATGACATTTTTAAGGAAATAGGCAGGTGAGGGACCCTCCTCCAGAAAAGTTACATAGTGCACCTTTAAGCCGTGTCATAGCTAGGGTTTGGCGGTTTGGTCACATTACAGTTTAGCGGCCTATTAAAGTAAGATGCAAGCCAGGTTCTCGCGATAGTGTTTGTCCAGTCTGGTAAGTGGTGCGACACTCAGCGCACCTTCTTGGTGTGTAGACTTTCAACAGTTTACCGGTGTCAGCAGCACAGATGGCGGTGAGCAGCATCCGGAGCCGCACGCCGCGGAGCGCTCGGATGAGATGTGAGAGACACATTTAAGTTATACCAAGTTTGTTGTTTACGCTTCCCGAAATACTGAGTAGACTTCATTCTTGGCTGTTATTTTTGCTGACAGGTCGCGATGACGGCGGCGAGGAAAACGTCACACTGGATCTTTGCAAAGGTACGTCCAAGATGTAATTTTGTCACCTTTGTTATGGGAAGTCAAACTCCATATCATAAAATGACCAACGTTTGATGTGTACGCGATGTCCTATTGCCTTTTTTAATTTTTTTATTTCCTGCAGTGTAAAGTCCTTTGGAGTAATCTGCTTGAGTGTGTGGTCAATGATCAATTGGAGACACATTTACTTAATGAGCCTATAACACCAAGAAACAAACTTACTTGGGGAACCGTGTCTGCATGTTAGAGCAGAAATTTACAAGATTTCACAAATTTTTCTTTATGAGCATATTTTGAACTTAACATGTTGAATCAACCATTTTATTTAAGATAAATCAAATAAATCAAATAGATATTTTTCTATATTTAGTTTATGCTATGTGTTAAATTATTATTATTATAAATTACATGTACTGAATAGCGTGCAGTACCTTCAGCTTTGATATTTCTGTGATGGTGCCATTATTTACCCCATGATGTGACTTTGTTTCTGTTTGACACTAAACTTTGTGGTCACTAGTTCATGTAAAGGAACCCCAGGGGTCAAAGAGGACAACAAGCATGCAACATGACAACATAAAGTGAAACATGCAATCCATAATGAACTATCTAATTATCTATCTATCTATCTATCTATCTATCTATCTATCTATGAACTAACCAGGAATGATAATGCTGCTGCTTTTTTATTGTTTCAGACCCAGCAGACAATATTCTTGAAATTCTTAAAAATGTCACAAAGCAGAAAGGAGTTTCTCCCATGTGTAAGCTTGCTCACTTAAACAACTTTGTAAAGGTAACATCTTAGAAGTAAAAAACATAATTTTTTACATACAAGATTCTTGATATGTTGCTTCAGCTTCTTTGCAGTGTTGGTCTTTCTGAAGAGAAGCTTGGCTTTACACAGGAGCAGATAATTATTTGGTGAGTCTGAACATTATATAAAGAAAAATATTTAGAGTATGCTTTGTAATGTCTTTGTTCCTCTGTAAGTTTGCGCCTAGTCTTCCTGCATGAAGCTAAAGAAGTGCGGGCTGCAGGACTGCGAGCCCTACGCTACCTCATCACTGACAGCAGCACACTGGAGAAGGTGCTGCATCTCAAGGTCGATTATCTCATAGCAAGGTAAATGGTAAAGTGATGTTGGTCACTTGTTCACTAATATTTTTTTATATTTTGCACTTGAACTTACTTTTTGAAATATTTTGGGAAGGTGCATTGACATTCAGCAAAATAATGAAGGAGAAAGGACACAGGCCCTCAGACTGGTTCGAAAGGTGAGATTGGCCTAAATAAAGTGCATTTCTTTTCTTATGGAGAATTAGTTACACACAGGATAGATATGGGGACTGAACAAAACCCTTTTCCTCCTGTCTCACAGATGATCACTGTAAATCCACTGCTGTTTCCTTCATCTATCACCAACTCACTAATCGCCGTAGGCAATGATGGACACAATGAGCGTGACCGTCTGTCTCGTGCCTGTGTGGCGATCATTTGTGAACTCGGTGAGTACGAATGACATAAACATTGGTGTCCATCAGAGGGACGTTGTGGTAAATCTTGTGTGGGCCTTTTTTTGTGCAGCACTGAAAAACCCTGTTGTGGTCGCGCAGGCGGGTGGCCTCAGCACCATCCTGAAGAGCGTGACTGACTGTCAGCTGAGTCGTATCAATGAGGCTCTGATCACTACCATCCTCCACCTCCTCAACCACCCACACACACGCCAGTTTGTGCGCTCTGACGTAGAGTTTGAGGTATTTAAAGGTCCTATATTATGCAAAATTGACTCTTGAGACTTCTTTGCCATGTTGAATTGTGATTACCTCATCAAAAACATAACCGGAGTTGTGTTTTGTTTCATTTACACGTATTTGAGTACTAATTTATTATTAGTCGGTCTACATCTCCAAAGCTCAAAATGCCGTGTTCTACCTTGTGATGTCATCAAGCAATAGTTTTCAAGTTAACAGCTACCTTTTACCTTAAGTTACCTTAAGTTCAGTAGAGATTGGTATTTCCAAGGCTGAAATCATCCAAATGATTCTGGTGAAAGTGCATGCAGTTTAAAAACACAGTGGAGCACTTCCTGTATTGCCACATGGCATCAAAAGGTGACAAGGTGTTTTCTGTTTTAAAGAACTCATCTTAAATACGCAGGGTTTGTGTGTTAAACATTTGCGAATGAAACAAAACACAACTCCAGGTATGTTTGTGATGAGGAAATAACATTATATTATAGATCAGAAGACAGTGTAATATGGGTACTTTAAGTGGATCAGCTACTTTATTGTGTATTGTGCAATTCACACTTTTGTTTTGGGGCATTTTAGCAAATCCTGGCTCCATATACAGATTTTCACTACAAACACAACCCAGACGTGGAGGAAGGGCAGTCAAAGTGAGTGAGTGAGTGTGAATTTTTCTTTGAAAAAACATTTACAGCAATTAATCCTTTTTTTGAACAGGGAAGACAGAGAGACTCGATTTATGGCCAGCAAAATGTCTATAGTGGCTTCATTTCGTTCCTGGTCAGGTAAATTACTTGGTTTACATTAGCTCATAGTCCTGGTCATTGATTGGCTGTCATTGAGTTAACTTCTCCTGTCATTTTGTCCTTCTAGGTATCATTAACCTCTGTAAGTCAGGCAGTACTGGGATTCAGTCC